TGATTGCCGGATTTGTGATGGCGGACCTGTAGTAGTAGTAGCGATATAATTTGTAGTAGTAGTAGTAGTAATACAATATGTTAGAACAATTAGCTTGCACATGAGTAAAAGGATATAAAAGCTATTACTTGGGTAACATAAAAATAGGTTAGACAAATATTTCTATTGGAGGCTGGATAGAGAAGGCCTGTTTCAGTGTTCATTCTCTGTAAAGTTATAAGTCTTCCCAACAGCCAGGTTGCACTGGATGTTTCTAAAGCACTTTCACAAGCTAACACCAGAGTCACCATCACTTCCAGCACTTCAATAAAGGATCTAACCAGAACAAAATCCAAGCACCACGAACAAGTCAACACGGGTTTACACTATACCCTGTGGAGGCTGCAACATGATTTATGTAGGTGAAACAGCAAAAAACCTCTACACCTGCCTCAATGAACACATTTATGCATGTAGGAACGATAACTTGAACAACGCCTGTGTACAACACCGAAATTCCACCAATTATCTTGTGAAATTCAGGGACGCCCAATTAGTGATCAAAGAAACTAATTTCCTCAGATGCAAGTGCCCTGAATCTTCACTAATAGCTGTTTCTAATACAATTAAACAAAATAAAGGCAGATTCACCATCTCTGAAGTCTTAGCAAGAATCCTCCTGAAAACAGTAAACCCTGCCATCACATAGTCTCTCCTGTTAATACTACACAAAGCACATTACAGAGAATGAACATTGAAACAGGCCTTCTCTATCCAGCCTCCAATAGAAATATTTGTCTAACCTATTTTTATGTTACCCAAGTAATAGCTTTTATATCCTTTTACTCGTGCAACTTAATTGTTCTAACATGTTGTATTACTGCTACTACTACTACTACTACTACTACTACTACTACAACTTACATCACTACTACTACCACTGCCACTAGTATTGCACCTCACTCTGAGCCTATATATACCCTCTGTGTCCATGTACTGTTTGTAACGGCTTGACAAAGCTCCTGGAGAGCGAAACGTTGCCACAATAAAAATGTCACATTAGTTGCACTTGTGTCCTTTTACTTTACACATTGTCGGTAATTCTACCAACTTTATTACGATCTTCAGTCTTTCATTACCTAGAGTTTTTGTTACTCTTTTCACCTTGCTCTTGTCTATGTTTACTTTTAATTTCTTTATTTTACATTTTTTTAACATACTGGCTGTCACCCACTGAAGCAGGGTGACCTGCAAAAAGAAATGCTTTCACCATCATTCACTCGTATCATTGTCTTGCAAAAGGTGCATAGATACGACAGCTCAGATATCCCTCCAAACAGCAAGTATTCCCCTACTCCTCCTTTTGAGAGCAGGCACTGTATTTCCCACCTCCAGGACTCAAGTCCAGCTAACCGGTTTCCCTGAATCACAGGGAATCACAGAATGTTACCATGCTTCCACCACATCATGCGCTGAATGACCCACATGAGTTTAGCACTTAACATGAAATATATATATCTATACATAATTTGATTAGAAACTACCATTATCATTTACCTGGCACCTTAAACTTATCTACTATGCAATCTACAGCATAAGAACATAAGAAAGAAGAAACACTGCAATAGGCCTACTGGCCTATGCGAGGCAGCTCCAATTCTCATACCGGCTTAAGCCAATGCCTTGACCTAGTGAGGTCAGACACATCACTTAAGGGAGGAGCAGTGCATCCGACCTAGTAGCACAAGCTAGTCAGGTCCAACTCACACCCACCCACACCCACTCATGTATTTATCCAACCTATTTTTCAAACTACACAACGTCTTAGCGTCTATGATGGTACTCGGGAGTTTGTTCCACTCATCCACAACTCTATTACCAAACCAGCGCTTTCCTATATCCTTCCTGAATCTGAATTTTTCCAGTTTAAAGCCATTGCTGCAAGTCCTGTCTATGTTAGATATTTTTAGCATGCTATTTACATCCCCTTTATTAATTCCTGTTTTCCATTTATACACCTCAATCATATCCCCCCTAATTCTATGCCTTTCTAAGAGAGTGCAGGTTCAGGGCCCTCAGTCTAGCCTCATAGGGAAGATTTCTGATACATGGGATCAACTTTGTCATCCTCCTCTGTACATTTTCCAGTGCATTTATATCCATTCTGTAATACAGTGACCAAAACTGCGCAGCATAATCTAAATGAGGCCTAACCAAAGATATATAGAGTTGAAGAACAACCTGAGGACTCCTGTTATTTATACTTCTTGCTATGAAGCCAAGGATTTTGTTAGCTTTATTGCGAACACTAATGCACTGTTGTCTAGGTTTTAGATTACTACTAACCAGAACCCCTAAATCCTTTTTGCAATCTGTAATATTAAGATCTATATTATTTAGTTTATATGTGACATAGTTATTTTCCTGTCCAACATTTAGAACTTTGCATTTATCTATATTAAACTGCATCTGCCACTTCTCCGACCACTGCATCAGTCTATTCAAATCATCCTGGAGTGCTCTAACATCCTTATTAGAATGAATTGGACGGCCTATTTTGGTGTCATCAGCAAATTTGCTAATGTCGCTATTTATTCCCTCATATATATCGTTTATGTAGATTGTGAACAACAAGGGGCCCAACACTGACCCCTGTGGAGCACCGCTTGTGACATGCCCCCATTCTGATTTCTCCTCATCTATGCAAACTCTGCTGCCTATTCGTCAACCATGCCTTTACCCAGGAAAAAATTTCTCCTCCTATTCCATGTGCCTTAAGTTTCCTCAGTAGCCTCTGATGTGGAAATCTATCAGAAGCCTTACTGAAGTCCATATACACAATATCATATTCAATACCATGATCTACCTCCTCAAATACCTGAGATTCATTAATCAATATATGCCTTTCGAGATGGCTACGAATTGCTTCGGCAATTATTGATTCCATAAATTTTCCCACTATGGAGGTAAGGCTTATTGGTCTATGGTTCAAAGCTAAGGACCTGTCACCTGCCTTGTAAATAGGTATTACATTTGCCATTTTCCACTTGTTAGGCACTATACCCGTTTATAGTGATATATTGAAAAGATTAGCCAAAGGTATGCTAAGTTCCTCTTTACATTCCTTTAACACCCTTGCAAACAGTTCATCAGGGTCTGGGGATTTATTAGCATTTAATTTCTCTGTTTGTCTGAGGATCATGTTACTAGTTACTGCAATCATGCATAGTTTATTATCATCCTGTTCTACATTATTTATTATTTCTGAAATTTCGCTAGTATCTTCCTGAGTAAAAACTGAGAGGAAGTAAGAATTGAAAATTTAACACATTTCCTTACCACTGTCAGTGATCTGACCTGAGTTACTCTTAAGTGGGCATATCTTGTCCCTAATCTTACTGTTGTCTCCCCAAAAGAACCCTTTTGAGTTAGTCTTCGAATCCCTTGCAACCTTAGCCTCATAATCCCTTTTTACTTTCCTTATTCCCTTTTTTATTTCTCTCTTTAATTGAATATATTGATTTCTTAACTGCCCATCCCCTCTTTTGATATGCCTATATATGCCTCTCTTTTGACCATTGAGATATTTTAATCTATTGTTCATCCATTTGGGATCATTTTTGTTAGATCTAATTTCCCTACTCGGAACAAAAGTTGTCTGGGCAGCTAGAACTATGCTCTGAAAAACGTCAAAATGGCAACTAAGATCTACTTGAGCATTTATATCATCCAGAATAATTATTCTCTCAATTGATTCGAAGCTCCTTAAAAATTCGCTTTAACATTTTTCAAAATCTCTCTCCCTCTCTCTGTCTAGGGACATAAACACTTAATATAACCTGCTTCTCACTTTCCACCTTTATTCTACTTCTTGTAATTCTTTAATTTAAACACTTAAACCCCCTTTTTTTCTTTTTGTAGTTGATCATTTAATATTATTGGTAATCATTCAGCCTTTGTTCTTTCATTTACACCCAATTTAATCCCATTTACTTCCTATTTATTTATTTACTTCCCATTTAAATTCTCCCACACCTGTTAGCTTTGTTTCACTTCCTGCCACAATATCCTGCTTCTTTTCATTTATAACATTAACCATCAATTCCTTCTTCTCATCTGTACTGAATCCACTCATATTCAAACAACCTTGCTCTAAAATTTCTTTCTTTGTTCCTTTTAGTAATTGATTCAGTAGAATGGGGTTACAAACCCTTTGCTCTTGGCATTTTAGCCACCTTCTATAAAACACATTACTTTTAGAGGAAGAATTCTAATCCCCATGGAAATGAAAGGAAGCACTTCATGAGCAAGAAGTTTTAAGAAATTAGATACAAAACATCCATACTTATTATTGCACCTATTACATACATAGAACATTTAACTCTGATATTAACCCTCCCCTCAAACATCTCCTTGCCAACCTCAACAGAACACATGACCATAACACAAGGCACAGATCACTCTTTGATGTTCCTCGTGTCCATCTCACGCTATGCAAAAACTCAATGCACATAAAAGGCCCTAAAATCTGGAATTCATTACCTGTAAATATAAAAGAAACACTACCTGTTTATAAATTCTAAGTCTCTACTCAAAGATCACTTACTCACTCAAAACCAAATAAATACTGAATAACTGAACCTTATAAATTGTATATCCTATATGTTACTCACAATTATATCACACAAATGTTAAACCTAGGACCCAATCTAACTTTATTATTTTTTTAAATACACTACCTAACAGAATACTCCATTCTACTGAATGTACAGCAATGCAAGCAACCATATGACCTGTCTTTATAATACTCATTTGTGCATTATAGTTATCTGTTTACAATAATGATTTATCACTGATTTCATCATTGCTTAGTTAATCTTAAGTTAATTTTAAGCCAGCCCGTAATGCTATGCATATAAGTGGCTTTGGCATGCTGCTCTTACCTTTATTTTTTGTACCTCTGTAAGTATGCTTAAATTACTAAATAAAAAAAAAATAAAAAATAAAGAAGCGAAGTCAAGATGATTATCTTTACACATATATGCATGCACGATCGCATGTGTAATATGTTTTGTGTCTAAGTAGGAAATACTAATTAGATTTGCCTGTCATTTTATGTGTTCACAAAACAGTATTACAGTTATGTAATGCTAGTGCAGTATAGCTCTTGTTCATTACAGTTTTGAAAAACTCATTCTAATTTATATTGCCAACAGGTCCTCCCCCAGATGCTTACCAAGCTTATCTCCAGGAGAGCAGTGTTGCCTGCATATTGGCTATGTATTATACACTCCACACGGCCACACGCAAGGACAAGACTGCTCTCATGCGTGTACTAGGTACACTTGCAACATGTCACCAAGACAGAGCTTTTCAAGATACCTTTCTTCACTCCTTGGTTAGTTTACCTCATTTTGCAAAACTGAAGATTTATTTTTATTTATTATCACACTGGCCGATTCCCACCAAGGCAGGGTGGCCCAAAAAAGAAAAACTTTCACCATCATTCACTCCATCACTGTCTTCCCAGAAGGGTGCTTTACACTACAGTTTTTAAACTGCAACATTAACACCCCTCCTTCAGAGTGCAGGCACTGTACTTCCCATCTCCAGGACTCAAGTCCGGCCTGCCGGTTTCCCTGAACCCCTTCATAAATGTTACTTTGCTCACACTCCAACAGCACGTCAAGTATTAAAAACCATTCGTCTCCATTCACTCCTATCAAACACGCTCACGCACGCCTGCTGGAAGTCCAAGCCCCTCGCACACAAAACCTCCTTTACCCCCTCCCTCCAACCTTTCCTAGGCCGACCCCTACCCCGCCTTCCTTCCACTACAGACTGATACACTCTTGAAGTCATTCTGTTTCGCTCCATTCTCTCTACATGTCCGAACCACCTCAACAACCCTTCCTCAGCCCTCTGGACAACAGTTTTGGTAATCCCGCACCTCCTCCTAACTTCCAAACTACGAATTCTCTGCATTATATTCACACCACACATTGCCCTCAGACATGACATCTCCACTGCCTCCAGCCTTCTCCTCGCTGCAACATTCATCACCCATGCTTCACACCCATATAAGAGTGTTGGTAAAACTATACTCTCATACATTCCCCTCTTTGCCTCCAAGGACAAAGTTCTTTGTCTCCACAGACTCCTAATTGCACCACTCACCCTTTTCCCCTCATCAATTCTATGATTCACCTCATCCTTCATAGACCCATCCGCTGACACGTCCACTCCCAAATATCTGAATACATTCACCTCCTCCATACTCTCTCCCTCCAATCTGATATCCAATCTTTCATCACCTAATATTTTTGTTATCCTCATAACCTTACTCTTTCCTGTATTCACTTTTAATTTTCTTCTCTTGCACACCCTACCAAATTCATCCACCAATCTCTGCAACTTCTCTTCAGAATCTCCTAAGAGCACAGTGTCATCAGCAAAGAGCAACTGTGACAACTCCCACTTTATGTGTGATTCCTTATCTTTTAACTCCACGCCTCTTTTAATTATTTTATTTAATTATTTTATTTTATTTAATTATTTTAATTATTCTGTTTGTTTACTGTATAGTTTTGTATATCTCATCTGCAGAGTTGCAAATCCTAATCAACCCATCTTACTCCATTCTTTCTATAGAACCAAATCATTGCAGAAACTCACTCCCATTATTTGACTATGCCATTCTGTGGTCTTCCTTATTCTCTGCATAATATTTCCATCACACTTTGATCTCAGACAAGATACTTTCAATGCCTCCAGCCTGTGCTCCAACCTTCTCCTTGCTGCAATATTTGAAGATCATGCTTCATGCTTTTAATTTTTTACCTTTTCCATTCTGTGATTTATCTCATTCTTCATATGCCCTCCTGTTGATACTTGTATGGTATAATTTATCTCACCAAATTATGGTCAAATAAATTTGTAGAACAATACATTAACTTTGTATCAACAATGAAGATACTTGCTTTATTGCTGTCTCTGCCTACCGCAGCTTCTCCCAGTAGGTACCTTCAATGTGAAACAGATGTTCTACAACCACGGAGCTGTAAGGGATAATTAATTATAAATATAATTACCCCTAAGGGGTGTTATTCAGCATATCTCAAGAACTGATTGCTGAAGTTATACGTACTGGTTTGGGCATCAAAAGCCCATGGGTCACCGGGTTATGGTACCATCAACTAAGACTTACTCAAGCTCGTGTGGCGTCATAAGTAAGTTTATTTAGGTATGCACAAATGAAGTTACATAGATTATCATACATAGCAGCATATGTTTGGAGAACCTAGGATAACCCAAAAAAGTCAGACAGACTTATTTCCATTAGGGTCCCTGTACCCTCTACCATATGGTACAATGTACCATAAGTTATTATGTACCATATGGTACAATGTACCATATGGTACAATGTACCATATGGTACATTGTACCATATGGTATCATTGTATCATATACCATTGTATGATATGGCATCATTGTACCATATGGTACCATTGTACCATATAGTACAATGTACCATATGGTTCAAAACCACAGAATTCCTCTTCAGATCCACTTCCATCAGTCTTAGAACTATAAGTTGGGAAGAGGAGAGCCAGAATTCTCCCGGGGAGTGAGAGCTTCCTTGCCGCCAGGCATGGTGAACAAAGCTACAGTTGACCCTCGGGTAACTCCTTTAATCCATTCCAGTGAGCTAGCCTTTAGCCGAATTAATTTTCCCCTTAAGAAATAATGGGAATCCAATTAATCCGTTTCAGACAGCCAAAAGTATTAACAAAAAATATTTGTTTTAAAGATTAAATATAAATATACAAACAGAAAACAATGACAAATAAATATAAAGCACTAATAAAATGGATAAATGAACATTTAACATCACACTTACCTTTATTGACTCTTGTTGGTGTATGGAAGACACATAGGAGGCAAGAGGAAGGCAAGTTTATTATGCTTCAACATGATGCTAATATCATCTCTATGGCTTATTTATCTATCACAATTCATTGAATATGACATTATAAACAATTTTAATAACATAGAAACATGATATATACTCTATTTTATTTTTTTTATTTTCTTTTATTATCACACTGGCCGATTCCCACCAAGGCAGGGTGGCCCAAAAAAGAAAAACTTTCACCATCATTCACTCCATCACTGTCTTCCCAGAAGGGTGCTTTACACTACAGTTTTTAAACTCCAACATTTACACCCCTCCTTCAGAGTGAAGGCACTGTACTTCCCATCTCCAGGACTCAAGTCTGGCCTGCCGGTTTCCCTGAACCCCTTCATAAATGTTACTTTGCTCACACTCCAACAGCACGTCAAGTATTAAAAACCATTTGTCTCCATTCACTCCTATCAAACACGCTCACGCACGCCTGCTGGAAGTCCAAGCCCCTCGCACACAAAACCTCCTTTACCCCCTCCCTCCAACCTTTCCTAGGCCGACCCCTACCCCGCCTTCCTTCCACTACAGACTGATACACTCTTGAAGTCATTCTGTTTCGCTCCATTCTCTCTACATGTCCGAACCACCTCAACAACCCTTCCTCAGCCCTCTGGACAACAGTTTTGGTAATCCCGCACCTCCTCCTAACTTCCAAACTACGAATTCTCTGCATTATATTCACACCACACATTGCCCTCAGACATGACATCTCCACTGCCTCCAGCCTTCTCCTCGCTGCAACATTCATCACCCATGCTTCACACCCATATAAGAGCGTTAGTAAAACATATACTCTCATACATTCCCCTCTTTGCCTCCAAGGACAAAGTTCTTTGTCTCCACAGACTCCTAAGTGCACCACTCACCCTTTTCCCCTCATCAATTCTATGATTCACTTCATCTTTCATAGACCCATCCACTGACACGTCCACTCCCAAATATCTGAATACATTCACCTCCTCCATACTCTCTCCCTCCAATCTGATATCCAATCTTTCATCACCTAATCTTTTTGTTATCCTCATAACCTTACTCTTTCCAGTATTCACCTTTAATTTTCTTCTTTTGCACACCCTACCAAATTCATCCACCAATCTCTGCAACTTCTCTTCAGAATCTCCCAAGAGCACAGTGTTATCAGCAAAGAGCAACTGTGACAACTCCCAATTTATGTGTGATTCTTTATCTTTTAACTCCACGCCTCTTGCCAAGACCCTCGCTTTCACTTCTCTTACAACCCCATCTATAAATATATTAAACAACCACGGTGACATCACACATCCTTGTCTAAGGCCTACTTTTACTGGGAAATAATTTCCCTCTTTCCTACATACTCTAACTTGAGCCTCACTATCCTCGTAAAAACTCTTCACTGCTTTCAGTAACCTACCTCCTACAACATACACCTGCAACATCTGATACATTGCCCACCTATCCACCCTGTCATACGCCTTTTCCAAATCCATAAATGCCACAAAGACCTCTTTAGCCTGATCTAAATACTGTTCACTTATATGTTTCACTGTAAACACCTGGTCCACACACCCCCTACCTTTTCTTAAAGCCTCCTTGTTCATCTGCTATCCTATTCTCCGTCTTACTCTTAATTCTTTCAATAATAACTCTACCATACACTTTACCAGGTATACTCAACAGACTTATCCCCCTATAATTTTTGCACTCTCTTTTATCCCCTTTGCCTTTATACAAAGGAACTATGCATGCTCTCTGCCAATCCCTAGGTACCTTACCCTCTTCCATACATTTATTAAATAATTGCACCAACCACTCCAAAACTATATCCCCACCTGCTTTTAACATTTCTATCTTTATCCCATCAATCCCGACTGCCTTACCCCCTTTCATTTTACCTACTGCCTCACGAACTTCCTCCACACTCACAACTGGCTCTTCCTCACTCCTGCAAGATGTTATTCCTCCTTGCCCTATACACGAAATCACAGCTTCCCTATCTTCATCAACATTTAACAATTCCTCAAAATATTCCCTCCATCTTCCCAATACCTCTAACTCTCCATTTAATAACTCTCCTCTCCTATTTTTAACTGACAAATCCATTTGTTCTCTAGGCTTCCTTAACTTGTTAATCTCACTCCAAAACTTTTTTTTATTTTCAACAAAATTTGTTGATAATATCTCACCCACTCTCTCATTTGCTCTCTTTTTACATTGCTTCACCACTCTCTTAACCTCTCTCTTTTTCTCCATATACTCTTCCCTCCTTGCATCACTTCTACTTTGTAAAAACTTCTCATATGCTAACTTTTTCTCCCTTACTACTCTCTTTACATCATCATTCCACCAATCGCTCCTCTTCCCTCCCGCACCCACTTTCCTGTAACCACAAACTTCTGCTGAACACTCTAACACTACATTTTTAAACCTACCCCATACCTCTTCGACCCCATTGC